TTCCTTTCTTTTTGAATCCTGTGCTTTCCTTGTGGTGCTTTTTAATATTTTTTGAATGTTTTCTAATTAGATTTTTCTGAACCTGCTTTATCTCGTTTTGTTTTCTTTGGTGCAAATGTACTTTTGTCTCATGTGCAAGTGTTCTGCCTTTTGATTTTTTTTGTTGAAACAAGCCAATAAACAAATAGCAACTTAAAGCAGACTGACCTCCACAGCGTTGTGTCACACAGCACTGAAGAATGGGAAATCTGCACCTTATTATCATCTCAGTATAGATGGAAAAATGCTCTGGATTGTTTCTTGAAACCAATTACAATCCTCTTGGGGACTTGAAGCCCAGGACTGTGTCGAAGTGGTTGCTTTGGTAAAACACTTGCACGTAGAGATTAAGAGTTTTGCCTTAAAATGGGTAATTCAACAAAAGAAGCAAGCAGGCATGCTATACTGCCGAATCCAAATTCTCAACTCGTGCCATTTTCAGCGTGTAGGTTGCTGTTTGAAGGTTGTTCTTTTTGTTTTATGGAGCTATGGGGACTCTTAAAACATGTGGATAGCGGAAAGGGAGGAGAAAGTTGCCAAACTGCACAGAGGAAATGACCCAAAGTCGACATCCATTTAAGTCAGACTAAACTAAAAGTGAACATGCAGATTCTTTGACCCTGTACAAGAGAGAGAGGCAGAGTCCAACAGTACCAGGCTGAGCATCTGTCTGAACCGGCCTCATCAAAGCAAGAAAGACTGCCAGAGCAGCTGTAAAGCGCGCTACAATCTATGGCTGAGAGGATCCTGGCGAGTGCAGCTCACTGGGGAGCTGCTCAGCACCAGACCACAAGACAGTAGCTGTGTTTCAGCGTAAAAGAAGCCAGCCTGTGATTAACGGCGAGGATGCAACAGCAGTAAACACTTAATGTCAGCTGTCTTATAATCAGACTTGATGCCAATAGTACAATGACATTGTTTTACTTTAATCTTAGAGAATTCCACTTTTCATGTGTTCATTATTGATCTTGAGCCTGATAATCCATATCGATAAACACATTTCCTCATTTATTGCTAAGGTTTGGTTTCTTGTGCTTCCTTTGCCGAGCTAATCTGTAAAGAAACATCACTTCAAAGCACCACATAAGAATTTTAGTATATTTAAGTCAACCTCAGGGGCCAAAACCACAGCCTTTTCAATGATGTCATTTAGCAAAATTCAAGGTTTAAGGAACATAATGTGTCATGTTTTAGGAAAAGACGTGACTGATCAAAAGGCCTGTATATTGGCATAAAGAAACATCCATCACTGGGATTTTCTGAAAGGTTGAAAGAACTTAAGCAAATACTTTAATTTGGCTGAACACTTCTCAAAGCTATTTACACATTTTAGAATAAGAAAAGCTTCTTTTTACAGCAAGAAATGCAACTCTCAATACTTTGAGACAGTGCTACTGTGTGACGCTCAGCCTCAAGCCATTTGGGTCTGACAGAAGACGGAGAGCATGTCGGCTTAAAAACGTCATTTTAATGTGAACTAGAGTTTTTAGCAAACACTACTTAAATAGAAGTAAATTGTGAATTTGTTGGGGATAGTTTTCAGCTTCAAGCAAGCATCTGCTCCTAAAATTTCTAGCAGAAGGCAGCAGAAGGACGGCTGTGAATGTGAGACTTCTGCAGGGGCCATGTTCATTGTAACAGGATTTACATGTGCTTTGACTTGACAGAAAGAAAAATACAGAGCGTTGCCAGACTTTGCTTTTTAAGACCAGGGGAAGACCTGCAAGATCCCCAGTGTACTGTATCCATTTGCGTGCTGATGAGTATGGAAACATTTACCTCTTAGTGCCCACGCGCTGGTTCGGTGCTATATCGATTGTGTCTGTGATGGATTCATGGCGGACTGCCAGGCCGAGGTCAGCTATGGCACACATGCCATTCTTCTTAACCAGGATATTTTTAGACTTGAGGTCGCGATGAGCAATGCCAGGCTTACCTGCAGGAGAACAGATAACACGTCATTACATTTGCATTTAGAGCATGTTCCTGCTGTGTTCATTTGTGTACTCGCTGCATCCATTTAGTCCCGTTTAAATGGACGGTTAATCTTACCCTGAGTGCCGAGGATCTCCATGTGTAGGTGTGCGAGGCCGCTGGCAGCTGACAGTGCCAGTTTGATCATGCCCTCGATGGTGACAGAGTGGCGGTTCAGGTAGTCAAAAAGAGAGCCGTGCTCATGATAGTCTGACACCAGCCAGAGCTGAGTCCATGTGCCATTGTCTGAAAGAGAACAACAGATGGACCATTTACTTAAACAAATACTGAACAGTGTGAAACTGAATCTCTAAACATTGACACAGATCCCTTTCACCTAGCTGGAGTTCCTTCTCATTTCACTTTCTAAGCAATGTTGCTTCTATGGTATGTTATGGATAAATGAGAGCTGAATGTAAGCGGTCTCCACAAAGCCCGGGCTTCCTCACCTTTATTGTCTGCTGCAATGAATCCTAAGATGTTTTCGTGCCGTAGCATGATTGTCTGGTAGATTTCAGCCTCTCGGAACCAGGAGCGCTCCTCCCTGGATGAGAAGATCTTCACTGCCACATCTCCTCCCCTCCACTTCCCTCGCCACACCTCGCCAAAACGACCCTTTCCTATTATCTCCTGCAGCACGATGGTCCTGGCCACTGTCCGCTGCACAAACAGAGGTAAACCTGCAGGAAGGAGCAGACAGATAAAATAAATTAGCTCGTGTTCCCTTTAGACTTGTTTTGTAGACGTAAATTGCTGGAAGTCCCCTCAGCAGAATCAAAGTCTGAATCATTTGACTGTTATGGCTCATTTGGCTAATTATGGGAGGCTACTGCTGTTATCGACAAGACGGATCATTAAATCAGGAGGTAGCATGTACTGACCAGAACCTGATCCCGAGGTGGACATGTCATAGATGAGGTCTTGCAGGGTCTTGTCCTTGGCCAAGTACAGATGGTCACATGACGGGTCCTCAACTTCTAGCCTCTGTCTGTGGCTGTAGGCCCTCTGGTGATATTGGAACAGGAACACGCCGACCATCAGCAATACACAGAGCAGGAACACGGGCCCTGCAATAACTGCCACCAGCTCCACTGGCCCCCAGGTGCTTCCTGGGCCTGACCAGTCACCCCCCTTTGTTGGGACTAGGAGAGAAAAAAAATGGAGAAGCACAGGTGAGTTGCTTAAAATCAGCTGACTGAACACTGTCACTTCTGGATTGAAAGAGCTCTGATGTTAGATGATGGTGCCTCACCTGGGACTTTCAGGTCAATACTGTTGCAGTAATCTACATAGCAGCAGTGAGTGTTGAGGAGGCCTTCAGCACTCAGACAGTAGAAGGGCTGTCCAGGGGGCACCAGGTTGTCCTGGTTGATACAGATGCGTACGTGTTGCTCCTTCCCCTGGATGTAGTAAGTTGAGGCCATGCAGGCGCCATCTGTCTCGCATTCATAGCCTGTCTTCTCACAGTTTGTGCAGTTGCAACGTAATGCTGAAAGACAGTAAATAACAGTTTGTTAGATAGAGACATGGGGTTAAAAAGTCATCTATGTCACTTCACCATTTTGTCCAGTAGGGGGCAAACTCACCCCACCGTTTCAACACAAAATGTGAAGACTGTCCCATTCAATTGTGGGCATTTTATGACATGCAGACAGACCTTAGAGTTCAGCAGAAGCAGCCAGACGGCCCTGGCGGCCCTGAAATCAGATCCTTCACTGCAGATGAACCCAAACACGCAGGGTGGAGACAGACCTGCCCAGTGGGACAGACAAAGTGAAACCCAACAAGGGGAAGAGAGCTCCTGCCAAATCCCCAATGCAGCATTCTGCTCCATTCCTCTCCTCCGTCTTTCTCACACAGACACAGAGAGCTGCCACTGTTTAAGCTAATGAGACAGGAGTTTTATTAAACACAGCACACTCCTGCGCAGGGACCTATTAAAGGTGACACAATGGAACTCCTGCCGCTGCCGTAATAAAACTCTGGTGGTCCATCTACCACTCAAATGAGGTCAGTGCCAGAAAGTCCACACAAATCTGCTACATGTAAAACAGAACCAGTGCTGGTTGGCCAATCCAGAGAGCAAAAAAAAAAAAACTGCAAACTGATTAGATTTAGAGTGAAATGCGATTTTGAGTCATTGCACACATGCTTCTCATTTAGAGTAATGTCAGCACAAAAGCTTCTTCTAAGGTTTTCTACCACCACAGTGCACAGCAGGAGCAGGCATGGTTAGATGGCTGTAGCACTGTGGGGCTTGTTTTTGTACATGGGAAAAAGACACAAATGATAAACTATCTGACTGACAACAGGGCCGTGAGTGAGGCCTGACAGGCTCAGAACTGATCCTTGAATGAAACAAAGGTTGGCCCACTCAAGATTAAACGCCGCGGCATTAACAAAGACAGGACCACTGTACCAAAAACAACACAGGAGGAGACACAAGGAGGGGAGGAATTTCAATCCTTATTCTCCTACAGAAAAAGAGGCTCAGCATCGGTTGGACTGCTGACAATGTCTGGCCCAGAGGAAAGAAAAGATTTTAAGAGTGGCAAGATTCCACTAATCCTCTGTGTCTTATACTGAGCACCTCTTTGACCAGATGAGCTCACTGATCTTCCCCATTTGAACCAACTTGGGTTTCTGTCAAAAGATGTCAGCAGGTTTTTAACACATTCTTTAACCAATTGAGCCATTATTCAGAACAGTTTAGATTAAAAAAAAAAAAAAAACTCAAAATGACTGATACACTGATTGCACCATCAGCTTGTAACATCCAAGTGGCCAAAACCACAAACCCTGTTGTCACAGAAGTGGTTTCCACTCAACTGAACTCTTGAAGGTTGATTTCTGTGTGGGAGCATTTTTTGCATGTAGCGTGTATGCTGATGTGTCCATGCTTGTTCACTGAGTGGTAACTGGAAATGTGGAACACTTGAAGCAGGGTTTCAGTAATATTTCGCATCTGTTTAAAGTTTTTGTGTGTGTGTGCATGTGTGTGCGTCTTGTTCTTCAGGATGTGAGCGGGAAAGTGGCAGGAACTCTCGGCTGAGTGTGTCCAAATTCACTGAAGTTCACATGCAGATGGAATTTCCAGGAGATTACACAGAGGTGAAGCAGGCTGGGCCTGATAAAGAGAGAAAAACAAGGCCTGTGCCACATCCTTCTAATCTGCAACATTAATGGAGCAAATGGTTTAGCTAAATAAAATAGATGACATGAGTAAAACAAGTAGGTTTAAAAGCTGGATGACACTCAATTTCCATCAACTCCAGACAACCTGAAATCTGCTTTCCATCAGACTCCTCTTTTGTGGGTCTTCTGTTTATGGGTTCCCAGTGAAACAGATCAATCTTTAGCAAGTGAATCCAGACAGGAGCCAGTTTGATCAATCCACCCTCAAAGCAGGACCAACATTTAAAAAGAGACACTTTTTTTTTTTTTAAAGTTTTCTCCCTGCCACACTCACATCACAGCCAACTACTAGAAGCTAGACTTAATGTCCTTTATCTTTCCTCACAAAGTCAAAGTGAAGGCTATGAGAGAGTACCTCTCAAAAACATATTCCCCCATTGTACAGCGATGAATTAACTGGAGCAATCTGATAAGAACACCATGATCTGAAAGGAACAGGCTCATCCATCATGGAGACTCTGTGTGTGGTAAGACAGATGGTCCACAGACATACAGACAGAAGCCAGGAAGGAAACCAAACATGGCTGAAAACACACACATTCGGTTCTTGAGGCTGCCATGGATGGTTTGTGGTCTACCAAGAGTTTGGTTTGTGGCAAAACTTCCCTTTAATTTAGGGCTACCTTGTGACTATACCATATGTAGCCTACTTCCACACAAATAAGCACAAACACTATGGGTGGCCAACACCAACGACATCTATGACGGAACATATCTAAAATTGATAGTGATCTCAACCATTTACGGATAAAATGACCAGATGGGAATATTTTGCTTCTGACTAATGTAGTTACTCAAACGCCGAACAACTTAAAGTCATTCATTATACTCATGCAAAAATCCCTGAAAGTGACTGCTGCCAAAAACAGCCCAGGTCACTGATACGCAACATTGCTCCTAACAATTTAATGCAATCATAGTCATTAAGGAATCCCTCTCTAAAACATCTACTTTCCAACTACAACATTTCACCCAGCCCTAAAGAAAATTTCACAAAAGATGCCGCAATGTAAAGGTGATATCTCAAAACTAAAATGTTAATTTAAGATGAATGCAATTCAAGACGGGGCTCTGGTGCAAAACTAAATCAAACAAGAACCCACGGGCCACCACCACTCACCCAAATGCCATGTTGTTTGCACAGTGCTCTGCATATCTCACTGGATTCAGAGCAAAAGTGTTACAAAGCTGGACTTGAAGGAATAATATCAAGCCTAAATACACATGGACCTGAGTGGAGGCCGGGTGTGCATGGTTTTTGAGTGAACTCTGCTCTTGTATCCACATAATTGGTGGTCTTTACACTGGTCCTTTGTGTGGAGATTAAGGCGACATGAGGAGGGATTGGACTGGCCCTACACGAACAAAGAGCAGAGTGGGGGAGAGCACTTCGGCGTGGAGCCGTGCGGGGGGATGGGTGGAGCGCAAGGGACAGACTGGGGTTACCAGTAACAACCCCAATGTTTGGGGGCTGCTCTGGGCCAGACAGGATGGGGGCTGGTCCCCATTTGGGCAGCACAATACAGAGGGGGAAGGGGGTAAAGGGGGTAACAAACAGGTCTCACAGGGCCCCCCAGCTGTGATTGAGGTCTGCCCAAGTGACCAGCTGCGACTGTCATTAAAACCCAGTCTAGACTTTGACTTACAGGAGGGAGCAGGAAAAGGGAACAGTAGAGGAAAACACAGGGAGCAGAGCGCAAAAAGCGATTCCTTTGAGCTGCTAGTATGTGGAGTTCCTATCATTCCGTTCGTGTTGAGACAGGAAATGGCAGACGCAGTGAGGAAGGGATTAATAAAACATTGTTGCCACAAACAGCGTCGCCTTAACTTGGACCCAACTAAAACCACAGCATAGTCCCAGTCCAAACAGCATTACCCATTAACCTTGATGACAGCATTCTGTGTATACACTTGTTGTTCAGGCCTACTCGTGCGAAACAACCCCTGTCAAAACAAAGGTGAACTTCTGAGCACGGTAATATCATGAAGTCTGCGGAAAAACAGTGGAAACGTGTTTGGTGTAGGGCGGCGGGTTACAGAAACACGGTGGGTTTCTGGGGGGCTGAGCGACGCAGACGGAGACTGTCGGTACGTGCGTGTGTGCGCAGAGGAGAGCACCATTACCAAAATGCACTGGCTGAAATTAGATCCATACAGATACCAGACTGAGAGCTGATCAAGACAAGCAGACGCCACCAGACAGTGTGAGTGCAACACACACAGGCAACCACGCACACGCACACACCACAACTGTGTCCTAATCAATGCTAGGGGAAGGAGGAAAGTCATTACCTTTGTCTGCATCTCAGGGTCAGATTACTGATCTGATTCTAAAGTGAGGTCTCTGGGGCCGAGGCTGCTTCTACTATCTCTACCAACCACCACCCTCTAGGCTACATCCCATCCTGTCTGTCTGTCTGTCGTCCTGGATGGGTTCAAAGACACACAAGTGTGAGCACAGACTCACTTTAGGCTTTGACTGTCGATGCTGGTGCTCAAATTCTCAAACTGATCAAAGCTGCCTGGGTGATATTTACATATACTACAATACTACAAATGAATGCATCTGCTTTTTGAATAGAGCTTAAAACCCATCTGGATAGTGGCAGAAGTGTAGACAAATTTCCACTATGTCTACACACAGTTAGTTAACCATTAACCCTCTACAATGTTTGGCTACAGACAAAAAACTTGAAGTGCCAAAAGCTTCCGTTTAAAGCCATCCACAGATTTGTGATGTTAATTTAAAATCTGATGTTTTTTTTGTAATTTCATTTCAGCTAAAAATTGGCTTCTCTGTTAAACAAAAATAATGTTACATGAGAACTCATATATTCCAAAATTATATTTTAATACCAGCACTGACATTCTGGTATTTTCATCAGCAAAAATGTCACAAACTACACATCTCCTACTAAACAGTAAAACACAGGCACATTGCTTGCTATAAACATTTGCAAGAACAACATTTTACTCAATTCTACAACAGATCTTTGTGGTGATGCACGCTTTTATTGCCTATCAAAGAAAACCCAACAGACTGAAAAACATGTTTCACAAAAGACATTTAGCAAGACATTAGAAAAAGCTTCTCTAAACAATTACTTTAGATTTGGCCAAATTGTTCAGGATGGAAAATTATCTCATGTTATTTTGCACACAATGAGTAAGCAGATAAGAAACACCAAAACAAACAGTCCAGTCATAATGCTGTGTTGATGTAGGAAACACAGGGATTTGCCACAGGGTTCAGACGCATGAATACTAAACTTCTATGCTCCAAATAAACTTATTTCTAATACACTAGGTACACTTTTGCATATTCTCTTGCAAGGATGGTTGCTTAACCGCCAAAGAAACACACTTGGTCTCGTTTCAAGTTAATGTCACTACGGGAGCTCAAGAAAGACAAGAGGTACCAGTTTAAAATGTATTTCAAGAACTAGTTAGATAACATTAGGTCACACTGTATTCCCCAAAGCAAATGCACTCGTACTAAACAGCCCTACCCCTGGATCACGCCAATCAAAGCAAATCAATGTCAGGGAAGTATTGGAGAAAACTTGACAAGTCGACCGCACATCTTCCAGCAGAAAATTACGACGTAGAGCAGATCTAATCTAAATTCCAACAGGAGCCAAAAAATAAATCAAACACCTCTACAAAGAGACGTGTAATGGAGGACGGGTGTCAGGTTCAGCCCTATAGACATGCACTCACATAGCTACCACGATTGTCTCAGACTACTGCGACAATAACAACTCTCTATCTCCTGTCTCTGGGTACATTTCAGAAATGGCACAGTAACAAATGGCATTTTAACGTTAATCTGTGTAATGCAAAAAGAAAAAAACTGTAAAAAAAAAAGACAAAGTGCACATAGCAACTTAAAGGCACAGAGAAGCGGGCAGCTAAGAAGTGGGCTGGCCCTGTGGTGGTAGTAATCCCTTGTGGTCTAACGTCAGTAATGGCAGCGCTGGGTCAGTCAGAGGCTATGCTGTCTGCTGTAGCAATTAGGGCTCTGTGCCTCCGGGCCATCGGAGGTCATTAACAACACTGGTCATTATTGAGGGAAAACTAGACCACCCCAGACCTGACCTGACCCTGACTGGCTCGGTGCCACAATATAGAAAGTGTTGGTAAACACAGATTGCTAAGGAGATGGTCTTTGGGCCAGGAAGCAATCTGAAATTTTACACAGAGGATGTGCTTCAACTTCATTTGATCATAATTTAACTGCAGAGATCAGACAACTAAAGCTTCTACCCATCTAGAACAGGTCAGGACAGCTGCTGCACATCTACGGGGAAAAAAAAATCAACTTTCTCCTTTTCAAGCTTAAGCCAGATGGAAATACAAATGTCACCCTTCCCCTGTCCAACGTCTCTTCTATTTACAGACACGCACCTTTGAACCCAATAACTTGCAGCCTTTCCTTGTACATTCCCTTGGCTCTGATCTAATGGGCAGGTGTACACATGTTCCGATCTGACGAGCTCATGCTTTCACCAGCTGAACTCTTTCACTTCAAATATGTCATTAAACAGCACCTGTATAAGTGTTTAGCACTGCACAGTCGGTTCCCAGCACAAAACTGAAAAGACAGGATTTTTCTCATTTTCCAATCACCCTGTCTTTGATTTACACCGGGGCACATCAGGGAATGACAAGGCTCTGGCACGGCTGCTGATTGTATGACAGGCTTGTAAAAGTGAGGGCACAGTTCAAAAGATAGCAGGAGCTCATCTAACCGAAGGCCTTCCTTCAACCTAGGGATGAAAAACAACCCAACCTGAAGCTTTCTTTGGCACCCTGGTGGTAGTGAGTAAATGAAAGCAGAAGTGGGACCACAGATAACAAAGTACAGATTATATTCTGACAAAGCACCAGGCATTTTACATAAGAGAGCCAGAGAATGGAGAGAGAAAGGGAGGGACGCGCCCTACCTCACGGCAGTGTAGTTGACAGTGCCCCATATCACATTGCTAATGTGTTCAATTCACCCAGGCTGACTGCGTCATGGGGGCATGTAGTGCCTATAACACCAGCGAATCCTTATGCATGTGAAGTCAACACCATGGGACAGATTCATTAAACCTGTCAGTAAAAAAGTGTTCTCACAAAAACACACTCACGCAGGCCTGGAATCTGCTCTAGCGTAGCAACTTTCAGGTTTGTCTGGTTTCAGCTCTAGCATGGTGTAATGCATTATGCGGTGTGAAACTGTGGGTCAGGACAGATTTGTGGGCCCTTTGCATGACAGACCCCCCGCCAGCTGGACAAACCCATCACCACCACCACCACCTCCCTGTGTCTGCTCTGGCTACAAGCCCACCCCCACTTTCCTCTCACACATTACTGTTAATGTTGAAATAACCCAGTCAAACAAACTAGTCACTCAGGTGTGATAATTTTCCCAGCATGCCTCATATGAGCTGATCAACCTTGGTGTATTGCACCCTTATCTAAACCAAGCGGGGGAGGAATATTTTTATGATGCTTGGTATGATGACTCAACTGTTTAAAACACAACATACGCTTTAATAAATGACAACAGAGCGAAGATATTTCCTCTGGCACACAGAGTTGTACTTTGTTTTTTTTTTATTACAAAGTTTATCTGGTAAGTGGCAAGTTGAAACAAGGTAAGAGTCCGCAAATGCAGAGATCAGAGGAAGAGCAAAAAAAAATTGAGCTTTGCAAAACCCAAGACATGCATGTGTTTAATCTATTAAATCCTAATGCAAAAGTGAGGTACTTAGAACAAAGTGGAAGATGAGTAGACACGCTGCAGAGGCAAAACACTCGGGTTTTAATGCCACATATTGCCAATTTGAGGCTGTGGTATCAGCTGCTCCGGCAGATGGGGAGGAATAGGGGCTGAAGCAGTCCCATAACTGGCGCCTCAAAAGACCCCACTTGCCACATTTCCATCACAATGAACCCAGACTTCAACTCTGACTTCTGTCTGGGTTGGCTGAATGTACGGCTGTTGTCACCCTATGCCAGCATTCACTTTCTGCTGGAGGCCACTAAGCAGCCTTTTCACTCCTTACAAATCGACACCAATGGCAGAGCTGCCAGTGTTTACCCTCAAAAACACATTTCATGCACAAAGTAGGTTAGGGCCTTCATTCAGAGCCTCCTTTTTTCTGCTCTTTTCTCGGTACTCACAACATGTGACGAAACTGTAATTGACCACATTGCAGCATATTTCACCAGTCAGCTATCATGACACGGTGTCGTCGTTCCCCCCTCGAGCTGATAACAGTCACAAGCCAGCTCGGGATTGTTTTGTAAATATGTTAGCATAACAGCCACCGAGAGATTAACTTCAGCATCAACAGCACACTGGAGGTCATTATTCGTCGCTTGGTGCTCTCATGCGACACAATAAATCATTTTAAAATTAGCCTCACAGCCTCCAGACAAATAATAATTATCAACGTTATTTAACTTTACACAGTTAGCTAGCAAACGTTAGCTGGCGCCTCGGAACAGACAGCCCCACCATGTTGTTGTTGTGGTTTAGCTACTTGCTTCGGGTTCAGTAGCGACTCATCGGCTTTTCGTCTGTCGATAAAAATCCTAATCAACAACAAACAGCTTCTTTTTTTCTTTCTCTCCCCCTCGGTCAAACGGCAAGCCGCGGTTTTTGAGGTCGAAAGCTAGCTAGACGCGGCTAGCCAAATCCCCGATACCAGAGCGCCATGACGATTAGCGACAACAGGCGATGCCCAGTCCAGGAAAACACATCGAGACAAAAGCCGGAGAAGGTGCTCGGATGAAACTTACCATTACCGACAGCCGCCAAGCCGAGCAGGGCCAGCAGCGTTGGGGCAATTTGTTTCAGAGCCATTTCTTCTGAATTCCCATCTCTCCGCGATGAAATTGCGTCTGAAGTGTGTCGTTATCAACACGACCAAACCTGAAACACAACCACAGTCCAACCGCACACACCACACCGCCAGATACTAGCCAGCCAGCCAGCCAGCCAGCCAGCACAGTGACGTGTTTAAAGGGGTGTGTGTGCATGTTTAAAGGGGAGGGCCGCCGCCGCCGCGCGCTGCACGTCCCCTCCTGCCGCCGAGGTCAGCGCTCAGGCTGCTGGTAAATAATAAAATGTTGGCTCAAATGCAGCCCTCCAGTCTGACACGATCAAAACACAGCCAGGCAGCGTTTTTTTATGGTAAACAAGCCAAATTAAGACTGCATCTTTAAATCACGTGTTTACCTTATGTGTCTGCATAATTATTTTTTATTTATTTGTCAAATTCATACATGTTTACGTGCAATCTCTATCCAGTGTATTCCTGATTTTATTAGCATTAAAAAAAGAGTATATAATTCCCACTGATTGATGCATTCTCCACGATTCTATAGGTTAACTTCAAATGAGGTCATCACATGTAAATAATAAATGTTGGCTCAAATGCAACCCTCCAGTCTCACACTATCACAACACAGTGGGACAAACAACTGTATTTTATGGTAAACAAGCCAAATTAAGACTGCATCTTCAAATCACACCTCATGTGTCTGCATAATTGTTTTATTTATTCATCAGATTAAAACATGTTTAGTCTCTGCCCAGGATATTCCTGATTTTATTCGCATTTTGTTTTATCGTCAATAACCCCCACTGATTGATACATTCTCCAGGGTTCTATAGATTAATTTAACCTTAAATGAGGTCATCACATGTAAATAATGAATGTTGGCTCAAATACAACCCTCCAGTCTCACACCATCAAAACACAGTGGGACAAACATTTAAATTTTATTGTAAAGTACCCAAATCAAGACTGTAAAGCAGTCTCTGAATTATGGGTTTACCTTATGTGTCTTACATGACATATGTATCAGATTAAAACATGTGCATTCCTGATTTTTCCTAGCATTTTCATCTTCCATAATCCACACTGACTAATCTATTTTCCACAATTCTATAGAATAACTGAACTTTAAATGAGGTCTTTATATGTAAATAATAAAATATTGGCAAAAAAATACAACCTTCAAAACACAGTGAGGCTGTCGACTATATTTTATGGTAAACAAGCTAAATTAAGACTGCATCTTTAAATGATGTGTTTACCTTCTGTGTCTGCATCATTATTTTAATGCCCAAAAGACTGCTGTCAGATAAAAACATGTTTACAGATTTAAAAAAAAAAAAAAAAAAAGTTCTAATGTTAAATAAGTACCAGTGTTTGATCTATTTTCCACAATTCTACAGAATAATTGAACCTTAATTGAGATCATTATATACGCTGTAACATTGTGCATTTGGCTCCTGATTTATTCAAAAAATTTTAATAATCACAGTCCAATTTTACTGTAACTGAACATGTACAAACCTTAACTTTCATTCAGAATTCTGATGTTAGACAAAAAAGAACATATACCTGCATACATATTCCTTTAAAATATATATGCAGGACTTAATGATAACAACACATCATACAATTCTTTCTTTATATTCAGTTTGCTTGCTGTGACTACACTATTGTCTTATGTAATAAAAAAATGAAAAAGTGGGAACAAGCTGTGTCTAACTGAACATCTTGCATTGTTTTTTAACTGAAAATGTAAAACCATGTCCCTACACTCATTATAAGATTCTTCCTTTACATTTCCGTGACTACACTATTGCATTATGTCCCAATCTGTTTTCTAAAACTACTGGGTAAATTCAGTTTTGCTCGGTTTTAATATTCTGATTAAGGTCATAACATTGTGCATTTGAAAGAAGCAAATAAAATGGAGACAAGCTTAGTCAGACTGAACATCCAACATTTTTATTACATCTGAAAACAAAAGCTCATGTGTCTTCTCATGACATGAAAGAAAGAGATAAAGTTAAAGATGTAAAGGTAATGCTGTAAAGGTAAAAATGTTAAACCTAATTTATTGGCAGCTTCATTGTTGGAAGCCAGCAAATTATATATTCTTCTCCACAATGATGGTTCAGGTTCTGTGACCGCACAATGATTGTTTTCAGACTAAATCTGTCAGAGTTAACGCAGTCTTGTTAAATTTATGTAGCTGTGATTACGTTTATTGCTCAAGACTTTAAAGTATATTACCAGAGCAAACTGGTTCTAACTCTTGTAAAAATACTTTGCTAACTATCAACGTAATCTTCTGTCAAAGTGTGTATACGAGGATTTGTCAATCTGAAGTCTGTTGCCAAACGCAGCCTACGTTCAAAGTAGACATAGTGAAGTCAGGCATGACTTCTAATGTAAATGGAACAGGAATCTAATGTGACTGTGGCTGACAACACAACCTGAAACACTCAATGTTCTTATTACAGAAGAAGGTTTAAAGGCAGCAGGGCAAGAGTTCGGCCTTATGAATGGACATGACTCCCTGCATTTTTCCCAGCAGCATCAGTATTAGGTTAGTCATACTACGATAGACACACATGTCCATCTATGTTCAGTGACTGATCAATTATCAAACAAGCCCCTCTTTGATGTAGCTGCAGGGCACAGCCGCTGTCTATACTCATCCACAGTCCCCTGATCAAAACCCCAATGGCCAATTTGGTTTTAATCTGCATAAAAAAAAACATTTCATTCTTTATTTTTCCAGTTTGTCAGATCACATATCAGCTAGTTACATCTGCTTGCACTTTTTTAATACAGAAGTGTAAAATAATCAGGGACCTAAAGATAGCAAACGGTATTTTGGTCCAGCTCCATGTAGGCTTTTCTCCCAGCTTGGGGACCCATCCTGTCGATGCCCCACTAACACATTCATCTACCAAGAGGTGAGTCAGGCTGTAACCAGGTGCATTTGGGACTTTATCTGTGGGTGCTTTTATCACCTGTCCTCTTCCTAGCACTCTCACTGATCTATCCCCAAGCCTAATTGTGTCTGCATAGTCTCCTCTGTGGCTTTATATCTGTCCATTATCGGCCCCGTCCAATTTATCTCCACATTTCTGCAGTGCATGTCGCCCGCTGAACAAATCCCTCTGTCTCTGCCGAGACACTGGGAATGATCCCACTGTGAAAAAGAATACACAGAGGAGGGAAACAGAGGGAGGAGTGAGATGGGCTTCTGCACTTACAGACAGAGAGTTTGGCCTCTCTGATACTTGAACAACCCCCCTGCAGTGTTAAAAATAACCAGCTCTTCATCTGACTGACCAGACAGACTGGGACTTTAAGGGGGTATTATCTCTCTGGAGTTTGTTCAACAACCAGGCAGGCAGACAACACACACACACACACACACACACACACACACGCACATATAAACAGATAAAGGAAAGAGAAAGCACGGCCGATAAAGAAAGAAAAACACCAGTGTGCCGATATTAAGCAGAAGGGACGGAGCTGATTCCTTTATTTTCACCAACTACTGGGCAACTTCAAGTGTTGCAAATTTTTTCACAAATTTAATTTCTCTTTGGACATTTTTTTTTCTGTAACACTCCAACATTGCTTATGTGCCTCAGTTTGAAAACAGGTTCTCACCAAATAATTAAACAAAACACCTTCTCAACACATGGGGAAAACATGACCGAATGCAATACATCTGAAACTAATTCACTCAAAGTCAAAACAGTGCAGTTTTGCTCATCTGAAGATGGAACAAAAACACTTGTTTTAATGTTGACTGTCAAGATTTCTCTCCCTTTTAAACTGAATCTACGATATAATTTGAATTGCACAAGATTGAATATTTGCATTATTTTGTTAAAAGTGAAAATATAAAAGAAATGCATGTTCGTATTTGCAATATGCATAGAGGGCTGCTGGGTGGCTCGGTGGTTAGCACCGTTGCCTCGTAGCAAGAAGGTCGCCAGTTCTTGTCCCAGTGAGGACACCTGGGATCTTTCTGTGTGGAGTTTGCATGTTCTCCCCATTCAGCGTGAGTTCTCTCTGGGTTCTCCTACTTCCACAGTCCAAAAACATGTTGAGGTTAATTGTTGATTCTAAATCAGGGGTGTCAAACTGCGGTCCTCGAGGGCCGCAATCCTGCATGTTTTAGATGTGTCTCTCTTCCAAC